TTTTTTTATGTCATTCTTGTGTTCTTTGATTCTAGTATTAAGCTGTCTTTTTGTCTGACCCACGTAAGTTTTCTCACAATCTCGACATGATATCATGTAAACAACCTGACAATGTGAAAATTTTATTTCAACTGTCTTTCCCCGTCCGTATGAATTGTGTTAGATTGTTAGGAATTGAACATGATAATTTTAAATTGAAGCTTCTGGCTATGGAGTTAAAATCTTTTATTTTCGCAAATAAAGACAACACCTCCACAATCTTGATTAAAAGCATAGAAAAAAAGCTAGACGAGTTTGATAAGGAGACTTCTAACAATCCTTCCTTCGTTCAATTCCTAACAATCTAACACAATTCATACGGACGGGGAAAGACAGTTGAAATAAATTTTCACATTGTTAGGTTGTTTACATGATATCATGTCGAGATTGTGAGAAAACTTACGTGGGTCAGACAAAAAGACAGCTTAATACTAGAATCAAAGAACACAAGAATGACATAAAAAAGAGCTGTTCCCCCTCTGTTATATCCAAACATAAATTGGATTTTTCTCACGATTTTGACTGGGACAATGTGAGAATTCTGGACGGAGAACCTTCTTATGGAAAGAAATTGATATCCGAAATGGTGTTCATAAAAAGACAACGTGCAGGCTTGAACAATCAAAATGACACAGAACGGTTACCTGACTCTTATCTCCCCATTATTAATTTGTTTCCCCCTTTATAATTGTATCGCGCGTTTTTCTTTTCATATATTAATTCCTGTCTTCCCCTCCTAGGTACTTATACCCTCCCCTCCATACTCTTTGTTCTTTCCGTCCCCCCCTTTCTCCACCGCCCTCTCACTAATCTTTCATCGCTTGAATTTATCGTTATTCTATCACGTACATTGAGGTTTCAACCATCACATTATATGGTTCTAAGTTTTTTCTCCTACCTCGTTCCATCTTGTGTGGACGAGCTTTCTACTATGTTTAACACAAGTATGTAAAAATTGTTTCTTTTTTCTGGTTTTTCGGTTTGCGCTCAATTTGTAACGGGAATTTTCTCATTTGGCTCTTTTTTATTACAGTTTAACGTGGTTTTAACTACTCTTCAGTTTATTATGTCAATTTTACTTCGTTTTATGTATTTAATTTTTGCGTTGCGTATTTATTGAATTTTGTAATAACATTGATAAAGGCCTGATGACAGGCTGAGACGTTTGTTTTTTATTGTATTGTTCAATGGTTATAAATTAATACACGATAACCTTCGCACGAATATCTGGCTGTTGGCTCTTTACGCTCCTATCAAATTTATTGATATTTTTTTATGTCTCAATTTTTTTTTATATCCATCAAAGATAATTAAATGTGATGTCTCTATCAAGTTATCTGATGTTTTAATAATGAATGAAACTTTAACCAATCTTTATTTTCAATGTGTATCTTACATTATTCAAACGGCGTTCGATGCACGTCACATATTTTTCTTTTCGTCTCGTACGAATTTAAGTACCGATCCGAATTCTTTGAACCTTGTCTTCTTTCAAGGGCTGCATGAATACCGAAGACCGAGAAACAGTTACGAATCCATTCACGTTCGTGAGTGAGTTTCTCTACTGTACAGGGCGAAACGAGAAACGTGACCTTAAAGCCGTCGCGTGTCAACAGGTACAACACCCGGCTCGAGCTTCGTTTCCAGACGCACGAATGCTCGATCTCGCGAGGCTTCCTTTGCATCCGCGATTCTTGTCGTAACGATCGAAACTTTAGAAGTACCCGCGCTTAGGTCCGCCGGAAATACACGCCTGACTTAAATTGCATGTCGTGCGCGATCGCGGCTTGCACTTATGTCGACGTATTAATTGCGCCTCGTAACATTGCGATGTATCCATTTCGCGATCTCTCTCAATACGATCTGATATTATATGTCAGGGTAAAATGGTATATTTGTACCAGATATAATCAGTATTTCAAATGGAAAAAAATAAATAACAAGTGTCCATTTTAATAATGTTAAGAAAGGATTTAAAATGCACAGAAAAAAGAAATGAAATTGAATCCAGCTCAATTAAAGCAGTGAAATCGAAAACAATTTTCATTAACAGCTAAAAGTTTTGAGATATAATGAAATTTTTTAAATATGAAAATATGTTTTTAATAGAAATTTAATAGAAATAATGTATGTAATATCGAGTCAAATTATGCGCGAGTGATTGATTGAAATTCGATTTCATTATTGCATCACTACAATATAATACAATAATAGAACAGCTGAAATATTCATTTGGCGATTACCACGAGAAATAGAGTGCGCATTTGTGGCCTCGTTACGATAGCACTGAAGGTGCGGCTAATCCGATGATCGTTTACGAGTCATATATCGATAAATCTAATCAGCTTTCTTTTCTTTATTGTGAACGAAACAATATGAGCCATTTCAATGATTTAAATCCGATATTGTTAAAAACTTCACAACGCTCATCAGTTTGAAATAAATAGCGATATATTGAAAATATTGGATTCATAAACTAGAATTATAAGAGATTAAGGACAGCGCCGCAACATTGGTCGTTAGCGAGCTTCTATGATCGATATATAACTTTGCCAACTTACTCCTGAGAGGCACATGGCCGTTTCTTAAAGGCGAGGACACTATTCTCTCGTTTCTCCTCTCGTTTCTTTCATCCTCCCGTTTTTCTCTTCCTTCGAGCTGGGCGATTCGCCTTAGGGCATCCGCCAGAGTGGCGCGAAGACAAACTATCTCGTCCCTCTGCGCCAAGGATTGCCTTTCGAGGTCCGCTACTCTGCCCAAAAGAGATCCGGTCTCGCACTCCAGCATCTCATCTGTAAAAGAAAGTTTCCATTTACTACGTTGCAGGAACACAGTTAAATTGGCTTTGATAGTTCCGCCCTTTGCAGAAATGAACCCTGAACCAAACTTCTTTAAGCCTCTTAACAAGATTTCCCAGAACTTCGATTTAACGAATGTAATTTATAATTCTGTTTTTGCAGAATAAAGGAGAGCAAACTTAGTTTAAAATATGCTTACATAATTAAACTCAAGTTTTTATCAAATATTAAAATAATCAGTAATTTTATATGATAAGAAGAAAACCGTTGCAAAGAAGATTTGTCAGTTTTGAGAATGAAACTTACATGTGCATAAAATATAATAATGTTGATTTTTATATTCTACACATTTATTTCTTTGCAATGTCGAGGAAAAATATTAAAATCTGTAATATTTTTTTACTACAAATATGTTTCTCTCAATACTTATTATACTGTAAAAAGAACATGGTACTGCTAAACACACATCAATATTGATCTTATCAATCGCACGATACTAACCAAACCCCGAGACTGACATGATAACATTTACAATTTACCTATAATGCCTTACATGCGGGCATATCTAAATATTATGGCGATATAATACAGGTCAGTTGGTAACGAGAAAGCACGCGATGTATTTGCTTATGTATCTAGCGCGTCAAGGAAATGTCCGCTTACGAACTTCTTCACACAGAAATGAAGGAAACTAGGTCAGGATTCTACACGCGGTTGAGATAAAACTTGAACTTTTTTTGCCGGTGTTGACCGATACGGCCGAACCACGTGGTACCAACTTATGAATTGTGCATGCGTGTCGAGCGTTTAATTTTGCATGCCTATCGGCTGAATCTTCCATACTTCATATTCGCCAACAGCGCAAGGAACAAGAAAAAAAAAATGCTGTCGCACAATTTTCTGTCGTATCGCGTTGTCCGATTTACAATTCATGGAATATATTAAACGAAAGTTGGCATCCGGAAGTCAAGTTTTCGATAAATCATCACTACGTTTACATATTTATGGTAAGCTGTTACATCGATCGGCAATTAATCATTATTACAATAAGTGTGGGCCGATCTATCAAAATGTCGACAATTGAGAGCTATTTTTGTAATTCTACTACATAACTGTGCTACAAAAAAAATTTTTGAATTTATAATTTTTAGTTAAATATTATAAAATTAAATTTAAACTATTTTTTGTGGTGCTCTATTTATACATTATATGATATTTCACAACGCTGTTTTAAAAGAAAAATATATTCCTTTGTCAAATCTCTCTTTATTTATTATATTATTAGACTGGATTTCTATCAATAGAAGGCGACTTTGTCCAAGAATTTATGGCAAAGTCATACGCGATTTTTTACGATCTGCGTAGGCGGTATCTAAAAAAATAGCGAATTATTTTTGTACTCACGCCACGCTTGTTCCGCTTCGTCGATGGTATCCATCGTGTCCGGCGTGGACATTGCGATTAACCCTCACGATGACCCCGGAGTATTAATACGTTATTCAATTGAATTGATTAACGAACACAAACAGAGCCAACGCACTTTTTATCGACATATCTTTTGCCACAATTATAACGATTCTTCATGCGCCAATAATATTCAGTTCACTTTTTCAATATTTCTTAAAAGTTTTTTTTTCTAATTTTTTTCCAGTAGGTTGACTTTAGCTCATGGGCTTTACAAAACGACTAGCTTTTATTGCATATCTACTAGTAAACAGCTGCTGATAAGATTTGTGAACAACGTTGCAGTCACGCGCAATTTGAGCGATACAAGGACGAGAGAAACGATGCGATGAAAAGAATGTCTTTCGCAGCTAAACGCATGAAGCACACGTTAATTATAGAGAGGTTTGGTTACGCAAATTCTGCGATGTTAATTATTGTTCTGAACAAAAGCGAAATGTTCTCTCGTGGAAATATTTAATTAGCATATAATCTTATTTTATTATTCTTATATTATATCTGCAATTTTAACATTAATAAGAAATAGACACTATTAAAATTTCATTTAAGTACATTTTCCATTATTTAAATACTATTATTCTTTAGGTATAATTATTAGAAATAATTTTTTGCATGTTGTAAAGTTATTTTTATATATTTACAACTAATGCAATTTGAAAAAAAGAACAAAATCGATTTATGATGTAATTTATGCAACGATATCGTTATATAATTTTTATATTAATATCGTAACGATCGAACTATTCAGGATTTTTATTTTTACACACATATACGATTGAGCACACATTTTCACCACACTGCACAGCAACTATTATTATCACTCAATAATTTGAACGTCAATTAGTACTGTGCAATTAGCACACGTGGAAGTATTATGTCATCGAATTAGCGTCAACTTAATGATAAAAAAGAAAGAGAAAAATGTGGAAACTATGAGATGACATGGATATTGAGAGAGCGGAACGTAATTTCCTACCGCCGATATTGTCGAAACTGAAACGTGATCGTGAATGCCGAGAATTCGAACATGTCGTATCACGTGGACTTGGCACGCAGCGTACCAGTGACATTTCTTAAGCCAAACGTACTATACTGACTATTAACTCTATATGTGCATTTTATACGAGCGTATTTTGAAAGTAAAATAAAAATTTACATTTATATGTAATCTTATCTAACGTCACGTTTTCCTGACATCTATAAGTATGCATTTCTGACTATGTAAATATGTAAAAGTTGCCATAGAACTACTTTCGCGATTTCTCTGGACTGTGAATCTTTTGACTGATTTGGAATGAATTTAAATTTTTAATTTAAATAAATCAACACTGAGATATAAATGCGGATTCGTAATTAAGTTATTTACTATAATAAAGCATAAAATGCTGCAAATGTGACTTTTGAGCTTACACGCGATAACAGCAACAATATGATATATTTTAAACGATCCAAAGAGCGTTTCGAGAAATGCGTGATATTTACTAGAATATCATATAAGTTATGTAACCCGCGCGTATCTTTCGTAAAGCCCGAGGAAAGGAGGAATTTCTCTACCTCCTCTTCCCCCTCAGTGCTTTCCCCACTGGAAGATGCGATAAGCACTCGACGAGATGAACGATAATCGACCGTAGGCTCTTTACCCTCGCACTTACACGATCATCTCTTTGTTGTCTTGCATTTTCAACGCTTTTCAGAAAAAATGCTTGCGATCGAGTGCGCTAACTCGAAAGTAACTTTTCCTCTTTGTGGCAAAACGTGCCATTAACCAAAATTTTTATTGGAGAAAATATTTTGAACACTAAGTATGAGCATTTGATTGTTTACTTGCAGAGTTTTTACAATCAACTAAAAGTTTTATCGCAAAAAATTATTACACGCGAGCTTTATGCATTTTATGCATACGGTGTGATGTTTACTTATCTAGTTTCGAATGCAAATATATTATGAGACATTGCTGTTTTATGCCAGCTGCGTACAGTGATAAAATAAATTCATGTCTGTAACATATAGCTTTGCTGGCAGAGGACTCTCAAATATCAATCAAAAACAGTTATAAACATAAAAAATAATAAAATATTTCTTAAACTGTTAAACAATTTTTATATTAATTGCAGAATTACTTTGGAAATAATATTTTTGTGAATTGAACTTATTAGAATTATCTTTGAAAAAGATTTATAAACGCATATTTCAGTCATATAAAGTTGAATTTATGTTTAAATATTTTTAACTTTTTTTACTATTTTTTGTGATAAAAAATATTTCGAGAATTAGGATACATAATTGTGTAATCATGCATTTCGAATATTATGAAGCAAACTTTAGACTAACGTATGTTTTAGAGCAAATAACTCAAATATATACTGAATATAGAAGTGACAAGGACAAAATAATATGTACGATTTATCAAACTGATTAATGAAAATAATAATGAAAAGTGCTCGTTATAAATTCTTTCAAACTGTTTCAAGTATTTCAAAGTATGTTAGATAAAAACAAGAATAATTTTTTATTAATGAAGAAAAATATAGAGTTAGCACAATTACCACACCAGCATTCAATAACCTTCGATAACAACACAACAAGCCATCGACTCCAAAGCCACTTCCGCGGTAAGCGATACAACAGAATCAACCCTGATAGCCACAGAACCTTTCACTTATCACATGAGCGTAAAAGACCGTAAAAGGGGTAAAAACGAGCGTGACTCGTCAAGCGAGATCTATTTCCGCACACGTCCAAGTAAAGCCGATCGGTCACGATCAAGCCGAGCGAAATTCATCGAACCTTCTGACGGCGGGAATTTCCGCGACGCGTCTCGCACTGAACGGAAGCGTGGTCCAGACACTCCCGCCCCCCCAGTAAAACAACCGGAAGTCATCCGTGCGATCCGCTAGATCGTTGTGTCTATTCAATTTTGACGATTTTCTTTGACTATTGATGGGAACGCTAAGCCCGACTAGCGTCGTTGCTCGTGTAGCACGTGTGTTTTCCGTGCGGCCGCCCCAACGTTACTGTCAGAGCAGCTACAGCTGCTTAGGCCACGATCAATACGGTCTAGATAGTCGAGATAATTCAGATGGCGGGCCACGCCGTGCCATTGACTGTGGATATGATGTACGTACGTAGTGCAAGATTGGCTTTGGCGATAAATGATTTGTGGATTGCTTGGCGGAAATTAATTCTCGTGTAATTGCGGATTAATCGTGTAAGGCAGATTAGCGCCAGATTTTTGGTAGATTTGCAAATGCTTAGACTTTAAGTCGTTTATATCGTATTATTTCTTAAGAGAAATATATCTAAATTTATTATTTCTACGTGGCACAAGTATTTTTAGTAAATTTTTGGAACTTGCATATTTTTTAGTAAACTGTTGGAGAACACTTGCGTAATAATTAAGAAATAATATACATAAATATACATTTTCAAAAACAAATATTTATTTTGTCTTTGCCGGTAATTTTTATGCTGAAAAGAAATCTAAATTACCATATTTTAAATATTTGTGACATTTTTAAATATCATAATTTTTTACTTAGTAATTTTTTTGAACGCATTAATTTTGTGACCTGACTTATTGTTAATTATAATCAAAATAACTAGAATCATTGATTTTTATGTTTTACTTAAATGGTATAGTAGTTTTTTTATTAATTTGTGGAACAAATTGCTTTTCAATTTTTGTTTGTATGTTACTTTAAATTTTTTTGAAATAAATTTTTTAATGATACACGCCAATATTGGAAGCATCACAAACAATCTTTTAGACTATCTACTAGTTTCAATACGTCCGATTCTCCCTTGCGATTGTTCTAAATAAATAATGATTCGTATCCTGTATAACGGCGCACCCTTGCAATTCTTTGAAATGGTCCTATGCTATATCGTCTGAACTAGTCCATTAAAAACGTCATTACATTATCTTTCGGCACTATGCTAGCCAATAAATTGGCACGATATATTATCGGGTGGGGCCTGGATCTTTGTTACAAAATTGCACCGATTTGAGGAGAATTGATACACGAGAAACGGACACGAAAAGAGTAAATCAAGTTCTATATTGATTTTGTAATTGCATCGATTAAAAGATGCGAAAAACAGAGAAACGGCGAATAGCTACTTGCTACAACCAATATTTTAATTTTTATTATATGATGAAAATCATATTATATAATCAAGATTATACCCAATTTGTATCAGAACATCATAATCATCGGCATTACATAATTCTTTAATAGGATTCCAGCGGAGAGATCGAAACGTTGTAATATGAAGCGCCAATCTATCCGTTTTTAAGATTACTCCGAAACTTTCGAGATAATAAATTACTTGGAAGACAATACGATCTTAATTACATCGCTATACGCAGGCATTCTATAATTGTATCTTTCTCTCGACATGATATCTACTTTCACAAACTTTCAGGTTGTATAATGATTACAACGGAATAACAAAGCACAAATTGATACGTCGCTTAAAAAATGATTCACTGAAACACGATATTTTCCTTTTATTAGATTATTACTTTAAATTATAGTTTAAAAATTTTCAATATCAAAAACTTATATTTTATATACCAAGTGCATAAACTTTCTATATTGTTTTTTCTAAATTATTTATTAGCGTATATTTTATTTAAAAAAACAATCAAATCAGATTACTTCTCTAATGGTAAATTATCAAAAATCATTAACTATAAATTGAAGCATTATAAAAATAGATTTTAGTTTGTCGATTGTAGTTGTATTTTCAACAGTTGTATGTTCGATCAGAACTGGAATTGAAGTAATCGACCGAGGGTCTGTTATCGGCGATATTTTTAAACAGAATCTGCAAATCGATACGTAGGCGTAACTAGTTCAATATAACTGTCGCTCAATTAAGCAAGTAGCATTTACAACGGAACGAATTGATGATCATTATGCATAAATTGCACAGTCTTGTCTTTCACTTCCGCGTTACATCAATAAGTCTGACGTCAGTTTTTTTATCTTTATCTAGCTTAACGATTTTATGATGAATAGTATCCATTCAATCTGCTACCTATATTAAGTTTCTGCTTTTATTATTTATTATTTACAATTAAGTAATTTGTTTTAAAAATCAAACTCAAAATTTTGCAAAGATATATATGTATATATATCAGTTTTGCATATAATTTCTGATTCAACACTCAGTACTTATTTTGTTATCATTTAAATATTGCTACTCGTAAATATAAATTTTTATTTATATTTTTATTTTTCAGTTATATGTATCAAGTATGAAGTTATTTATTTACTTTATTTTATTCAATTGGATACTCTATCAATATTGAATTTGAAACCAATTTTTCGCTACGATGACGAAAACAGAGTTAGAAGGCAATCGCAAGTTTAATGGAGCGATTGCCTTCTAAATCTATCTCTCCGCAAAACCGATGAAAATTTTTCTCAGAGGGTTCAACGTAGTGTCATAATTTTGCGGTACGCGGATCGAAGGTATTCGCGTATACGAATTCGCGCGCGCAGAAAATTCAGTAAAAGGAGACAGCAAAAGCCGAAGGCGAAGAATTTCATGAAATTCTAGAAGGCACCGTTAGGCGCGCTTCGAAGGCGGCCGAAGAACCGTGTCGAGGATCATTATTAATGAAAGAACAGGATGAGCTACGCGGGCGCACCTTTGAGTAACGTGATCATGCCACCTTGAATGGCTTATATAACAAGTGCCACCGTGCCGTAGACAATGCGCGCTACGTGACGCGTATGCGAGCTTGTACATTGTCTCTATTTGTCGTTATTTTTTAACCGTCACGCGTCCTTGTGCACGAATATTTCGAATTCAATATGCGTTCTAATAGATGAAAGAGTGATTAGTTTCGAAGAAACTCTATAAAATTAAAAAATGAACGGAAGAGAGGCTAAAAATAACAAAATACACGAAAGAAAACAAATGCGAAAGAACGCGGTCCTTTTTATTTTAACATTTCAGAAAAAGTTTTTAAAGATTTCTTTCTTATTTTAATTGTAATTTCTCTTCTTTTGCAGATTTCAAATATTTTGCACGTTCTATTACGATTACGATCCTTAATCAGAAATACGCTCTAATTGTTATGACAAAGGAAATACTGCAACTTTGTTGCGATTTTCAATAAATAATTCGTCACGATAGTGTTGCTGGAAAGCGTAATCTTACCCATTTCTTGCCTCACACTGTGTTCCGAATGCCCGTTTACGCGCATCGTCGACTCCGAACTTTCCTTTTCATACTTATGCAGCGCCTTGATTGAAAATCCCACGTCTGCAAAAAAAAGGATAATATTATTGTGTGTTGGAAGGGGGGGGGGGGGAGGGCGAGTTATATTGCGTGCACATTGTATCACAGTGCAACGAAATATCGCACGCGCTACTTTTGATCGTGTCTTCCTATTAATTGTTTCCGTAATTACCGCAACGGGGCTTGCCATTATGCAAAATCATTGTTAGAAGACAATAGTCTTAGATAAGGATGCCGTTGCAAATTATCGATGATTGCAATTATCCAGCTCTTTAATTGCTTCAAGAATTTTGCTATGTATTGAAGAAACTAATTTAGTGACGAGTAAATTAAAAATTACATAATATTATATGAAACATAAAGCTCCAGAATAAAAACTATATATTTAGAATTATAAAAATCTATATCTTTTTATGTTGTTAAATCACCATTCGGAATATCGCGCACATTTCTCTGCGTATCTCTTCCGTACAATGCGATGCGATTCCTACTGCAATGCGATTCTTAACGCTGAACTTCTCTGATAGGAGGAGGCTAACGGGCATGTTCGGCCTTTACGTAAGCATTGATCGTAGCCGTGAGCAACAAAATCTCGTAACTTTTAAACGTGCACGTTTTTCCGCGCCGCGTTTTTGCCCGCGAGCGTAAATCGCCGTCGATTTCGCTCGAAAGGAGGAACATTAACTTATAACGACCTTGGCCAATGAAAACGAATGGCGGTACGCGATCGTGTGCGTGCAGAAAGAATCGCCAGGAAATGTAGGACGCGTTGCACCTTTCGTGTTTACACTGCAGTCGCTGCAAGAAGAAAGTACAGGCTGCGAACTTTTATCGATAAGATACCGCGAGTGCAAACGAGATTGCTACTTCATAAATTTTATATTCCAAAGATGATTAAACAAATTCAATAATGGACTCTTATCATCTTATACTTATTATGAAATAAAATAGTAGATTTGATATGAAATTTACGTAAATAATATTCTCAACTATAAACTTACAATTACGTAACGGTATGATTAGAATACATTTTGGAAATCTGTACAATCTTTTCTAACACCCCGCCGTGCCGAAAGAAAATGGGAATACAAATTCGCGACGAATAAACTTTTGATATGCTTTCGCATATTTCCTTTGTCGCGTTCCGCTTTCGCGCGATTTCTCAATCGCTCGAAACATCATCTCATCTTGTCGTTGTCATCATTGTAACCGGCTCGATTTTTACGTTTCACGGTACTCCGCTTTTACGCATTCGCAACTATCGATATCCACTCGAACAGGCTCGAGCGAATGTGTGTCAGAAACGCAAAGAGATCTGAAGTGCATTATCGCGAACTGGGACATGGTGAGTATATTACTCGGCGAATATGGTTAGGATGCGTGCCAGACTTGGTGGTTTACAATCTCACTCGATGCGGCCTGACGCCGACTATCGTCTCTGAATGAAAGAAGCAGCTACAATCGCCACTGTAGATCGTCTAATAGTAATCCATAAGATATACACGCACGTTTCGAGAATGGCAAAGTAAAATTCTTCAGTACAAATTATTTTTGCGCAGTACATTTTTATTGCAAAATAATTTTCTATGAAAAATGTGTAAAATCCTAGTAACTATATTTGAATTTCGTGCTAATTAAAAGTTTTTTCTGTGTCGTAATGAAATTTTAACCACGTTGTAGCATCAGTCGCTTGACAAGACTTTATATGGACGTTTGAAATTTGGTTAATCATCGTGACGCAAATATTATCCTTGACATCCTTAC